GCAGGGGGTTGGACTAGCAGACCTCTAAGGGTCCCTTCCAACTCTTTTATCCTGAGGAATCCTGGGAGTTGAAGTCCACAAGTTATCAAACTGGGATACCCCTGATTTAATTAGATTCAAGAGGATTTCTCTCCCCCCCACCCCCAACTGTTCACCGTTAAGAACTTAATATCTCCTTTTGGCAAATGTTGAATGTTTTGCTTGACGTGAAGCCGTTCTAACGCCCCCCCCCCTGTGTTTTTTTTCCTCTCCTCGCAGGATTCATGAATAAAATTTTTCATCCCAACATTGACGAAGCGTAAGTGACTCTTGTCTGCCTCGAAACGGCCTTTTTGTAGGAGGTGGGAATGAGGGGAGGTTTGGTTCTCCACCCTTTCTCCAGGCCTACAAAACGAGCGTTTTTCCTCAGCGCAAGGCCGTATATTTTTCGACCGTGGGGACTTTTAAAGATAGCTGGACCTCAACTCCCAGAATTCCCCCCCTGGCTGGGGGATTCTGGGAGTTGAAGTCCACCCCTCTTAAACTCCCCATGGTTTGAGAAACCCTGACTTCAATAGAGGTTTTAAACGCCCGTTTTCTCCACTTTTTTTTTTCTTGAAGGAAAAACTAAGGCGCTAAATTGGTCTCCCAGTGCTCGAGCCGGGGTTGGATTAGATGATCTCTAAGGTCCCTTCCAACTCTGTTATTCTGTTATAACTTCCACTCTCCTGAAATACGGGGCCCGGCAATCATCCTGGCTTCAGATAAACTTTGCTAGTCCTAAGACAAGATACCAGAAATGACTTGGCTTAGGGGTTTATTTTTAAAATGCCAGCTGTCACCACGGATTAACTCACCTTGAGTGGATTTAAAGGCCGTCAGTCTCCAGGGCCCACAGCTTCCCTTCGCTTTCTCGGACACGAAGGGGAATTTGGCATCGAGCAGAGCTGTAACAGCTTCCCTTCCTCTTTATGATCTTTTATTTCCAGATACTTTATTTAAAACAAAAAAATTTTTTTTTTAACAAATTAAAATTGCAGCTTAGCTGTGATGGGAGACAGTTTCTGGAGGACTCGGAAAGGAAACGGGTTCCTTTCTGATCGGCTGGGCCTACAACGAGCCATTTTGATAGAGTGGCTGGTTAGGCTGGGGCATTCTGGGAGTTGAAGTCCAACCCATCTTAAGCTCCCCACGGTTGAGAAACACGTGACTTTAAAAAAAAGAGGTTTTAAGCACCAGAATTCTCAACTTTTTATCTTTTAAAGGAGAAGCAAAGGAGCTAAGCTGGTCTTCCAACTTCCAGTCTCGTGAAATATGGGGCCCGGCATGGCCTCATCCTGCCTTATCTGGCTGAGGAATTCTGGGAGTTGAAGTCCACCCATCTTCACCTCGCCAAGGTTGAGAGATGTTGACTTTGAGCCTCTTGCAATAGTCCCACCAAGGGCCTTTCAGCTTCAAAATAGAAGAAATACTTCTGCACAGCCGGCACTGCGGTCCACATTCATACCCTAGTCCAGGGCTCTTCAGACTTGGCCAGTTTAAGACTTATAGACTTCAACTCCCAGAATTCCTCCTCCAGTCATGTTAGCTCAGGAATTCTGGGAGTGGAAGTCCACAAGTCTTAAACTGGCCAAGTTTGAAGACCCAGGATCTATTCTATCTGTCTGTCTATATATTCTCTCTCTGTCTATTCCACCTCTTTATGTATCTATTCCTTCTTTCTCTCTCCCTCCCTCTATCTATCTATTCTATCTATCTCTCTTTCCCTCTATTCTACCTCTCTTTATCTATTCCAGGGCTCTTCAGACTTGACAGCTTTTAAGCCTTGTGGACTTCAACTCCCAGAATTCCTCCTCCAGTCATGTTAGCTCAGGAATTCTGGGATTTGGAAGTCCACAAGTCTTAAGCTTGCCACGTTTAAAGACCGTTGCCAAAGTCTACGCCATTACTGAGGCAGGATTTAAACTAAGATCAGGTCAGCTGTTGCTCTTAACTGCCATTGGGCATGGGGCAGGGTTGAACTGTCATTCAACTATCCTTGTTTGTTTATTCCAGGTCAGGAACCGTATGTCTAGATGTAATTAATCAGACTTGGACAGCTCTCTACGGTGAGTTTTTTAAAACGAGAAAATTGTGGCTGATTTGTAAGATGTAGCAGAGAAGTGAGGGAGGTCAAAAAAGTTAAGATGGCAACCACAACAATGGGATTAAAAAAAAAAAAGATGACCTTTTTTTTTTCATGTGGCACACAAGGTGCAGTACCCTGTTTTCCCAAAAATACAACCTACCCTGAAAGTAAGCCCCTAGCTTGAGTTTTTACAGGTGTGTCCGATATAAGCCCTACCCCCAAAAAATAAGCCCTAATTAAGATCCCACCCACTCCAGAGTGGACAGGTAAATATGAAGCTAAGGTGGGGATAGGGGGTGGAGCTGCCCTACTACTTACCTTGGGACAGGTATAGCCAGACCTCACACACCCTGACACCTGCTTTGCTGGCCCATTTCTTCTGCAGCCGGCAAGGCTGGTCAGGCTCTCCTGAAGGCCTCTGTAGTTGATAACCAAGCTCTGGATCGATCCTGAAGGCTGCAGAGGCCTTCAGGAAAGCCTTGCCAGCCACAGAAGAAGAAATTCCTGACAGCGAAAAGAAGGCCGGGGTCGATGCGCGCGAGTGAGGTTAGTCAGTGTGGAGGACATCCCCCCAAAATAAGACCTGGTGGCTTTTTTGATGGCCAAAAAATATATATTAAAGACTGGGTCTTATTTTCGGGGAAACCTAGTCAAGAGCTGAGTTTGCATCGTTGTGGCTACTCCCCTCACAATAATCAAGGAAAACAACCTCCTAACCTTCCCTCTCCTGGGAATTCAAGGTGGGAAAGGGACACCGGAAGCCATTTTGTTTTCCAGGTCCTTTTTGTGGGTTTCTTCTTCCCCTCCTTTTTTTTTTTTTTTAAAGTTGATCGCAGAATTAAATACAAGCACCAACAAAGAGGGAGAAAGTTGGAGAAAGAGAAGGGGAAAAAATGCCAAAAGAGGTTCAAAAAGCAAAGAGGGGGAAAAGAAGAAAAAAATATATGAAGTCAAATATTTGAAGGGAGTTACCGTAACCGCTGTGCGTTTCTGAATGTTTCGAGCCCTTTCTGGGCCCTCGGAACCAAACCGCCAAACTGTCAAAGAGCCTAAAGCTTCGTTTTTGTGTCGGCCTTTCCAGATCTCACCAATATATTTGAGTCGTTCCTGCCCCAGTTGTTGGCCTATCCCAACCCCATAGACCCCCTTAATGGTGACGCCGCAGCCATGTACCTTCACCGACCAGAAGAATACAAGCAGAAAATTAAAGGTAAGGACCCCTTTGGGGGGGGGGGGGGGGAGGAAACACTGGCAGGTGGTCCTCGGTTTATGACCGAATTGCGGGTAGTCCTCGACTTACGACCTCAGCCGAGCCCCAGACCTCCGTCGCGACGCAAGGCAACGGGGGTGAGCTCGGCCCCATTTTTTTTTACGACTTAACGTTCTTGCCACGACCATTAAAGCAAATCGCTGCCAGTCGTTAAGCAAATTGCAGGGTCGTTAAATAGATAGATAGATAGATAGATAGATAGATAGATAGATAGATAGATAGATAGATAGATAGAT